CGGGCCAGCGGCGCCTGTCCCTCCACGCTGCCGCTGGTGAAGGGCAGGCTTTTCTCCCAGCCCCCGCTGCCCGTCCCTGCAAGCAAACCCCCCCACCGTGGGGCTGCACCAGCCACTGTCCCCCCACAGCCCCCGGGCTGGGGCTCACGCCACTGGGACCGGACAGGGAGTTGCGCTATGCAGAGGGAGCAAACTAACCCGTACGGCGCCTGCCAGGGAAGGACAGACGGGAGCCACTGAGAAGGGGGGGACAGAGGACTTAAGACCCCACACAGTTTGGTTTTTAACTACTTTTTACCCTACTCATGCTGGTTTTGTCCAGTTGTGGCAGGTGACAGCGCATCCTGGCTACACAACTCGTCCTGGAGCAAATCGCATGTGGTGTCTGGGGTGACTGCACGATGCCCATCGGCAGGGGGTGGTCAGGGTGCCGGGCACGGGGTGCAGACCCAGCCGTACTGGCAGCCGGCTGGACCTGCTGCCACCCCACAGCACTGCCCGGGCACTGAGTGGAGGTCCCCACAGCTGCCACCACGACAGGACGCACACATCCTATATGTGTGGCTCAGTGTCCCCATCGCCCTGGCATCACCTCTTCCTGCAACGCTCATTGTGGTCCACGACTGTGGGACATCGCCAGACACCCTGCTGGCCACTGCTCCCGGTGCAGCTGCTGTGACACCCCGCTCCTTCGCTCCTGGTGGCCCCGTGGCAGCCCGAGCTGCAGGTGCCCAGCGCAGAGGTGTTGGCACCGGGCACTGCCGGCAGCGGGGCTGCTGTTCCAGCCGGGGAACGGGCGCTCCCCTGCGGTCTCCAGCCCCATCCACCCATGGCAGCCCCAGACCCAGGGGAGCTCAGGGCATCCCTCCGTGGGCATCGCTGGCTGTGCTCTGGCATATCATGGTGGGCAGCCTTTGGCTGACCCACACATCGTTACCCCCTGTATCCCCTACAACCAGGGTCTTGGGGGGGGGACGTTCCGGCAGCAGCACCCCGTGGCTCAGCTCTCGCCTTTACCTTCTTCCTCTCGGGCAGGCAAAACCAGACACACGCTCACCCCCACCTCCTGCCGCCCCGGGGGTCAGCCCTGTCTCCTTCCCTTCTCCTCTCATTACTCCAGGCAGCTTTTTGCCTGGAAACCCCAGCAGCCTCAGCCTGCCCGTGCCACTGCCCCACCAGCTCCCCAGCACGGTGCTTCCAGGGGGCCCCCACAAATCATTTGGTGCCTTCATTAAGGGACTGTTCCCTGCAGCCCTGCTGCGGGCACGTGGCCGGCTCCACACTGCTCAAGCCGCTTTCCTCTGGACACGATGAAATCTGCCCTCGCCGCCAGCCCGAGGAGGTTAAATTGCCGGTGACACCGCGTGTTGGTCCGGTGGGGATAAGCAGAGCCCAGTGCTTCACGGCCGATGTGCCACGGCAGCCGGGCAAAGGGCGCGTGCACCCAAGAACTATAAAACAGTTGGGCCATAACGGCTGATTAAATGCTCGTTGATCCTTAATTAACCTTTTACAAGCTATTTGCATGCTTCGAGACAAAGTGCCCCCAGCCATGCTTCCCTTCCCCGGCGCAGGCAGGTCTTGCTGCCCGCCCGAACGGGGCCATCCCTCCTCCAGCCAGGCCCCCGTGCCCCATGGCCACCCCGCTGGGGTTGCTAATGACATATTTTAAATCTGGGCTTCAGGTGAAACGGGGGAGGCTGGTGCTGCCCTGGGAGCACCCGGAGCTGGCTGGGGTGGGTGGCTGAGGCTGAGCTGCTCCGAGGGGCTCAGGTGCTGGTCTCCAGTCTACACCAGGCCACCTGAAAGTGGGGCTCCTCCAGCCATTCCCACTTTGGCGTGATATGGGTGAAATTGCCCTTCTCCCAGCCGTGCTCCCCTCGCTGATGCTCAGCCGGGCACTGTGGGCAGACTTGGGGGTCCAAGCCCCGCGCAGCCCTGACACCCCCCACCCCACACACGGCATCACTTACCGCATTTGGGGTCCTGTGAGTCGTAACACCACTGCCCTGTTGGAGAGAGGAGACCTCAGGGCAGGTGATGGAGACAGGCACCTACCCCCCAAACCCACCCACAGCCATGCCCGGCCCCCCAACAGTGAGAGCATCCCTCATTGCAGGCTGGGGGTCCCGCCGGCGCTTGTGTTTATCCCAGTTATTCTCGGCGCTGGGGGCTTCACGCCTTCGCACCCCCCCCC